ATGGCAGGGGTGGGATGGGATGGTGTTTAAGGTCCCTTCCCACCCAAACCATCCTGGCATTTCATATCCCAGCTTGGGATCACATTGTGGCTCTCCTAGTTGGAGTTCAATTTTGCTGGCTGGTTTATAAATGCAAATGATGGATAAACACATGGATTGTCCCTTTGGATCACATCTCATGTCCATCCTGAACCAGAGCCAGCAGGAACCATTCCAGCAGGGAGCAGGAAGAGTGTGCAGAGACAGCTCTGTGATAGCCTGGCCTGCCATGCCAGAAAGAAAGATACATTTTCTGCCCTAAAGCATGAGGTTTAATAATCCTTCAAACAATATTTTGGTATAATCATCAACTATTATAATTGCTCTGGATCATCTTGTCATCTTTATAAATGCCTGTTCCATTTTTTAATCAGGCTGGACTGAAAAAAAAACCCCTCTGTTGATGAATCACAGGGTTCAGACTTGTGCTGTGTGTGATGTTTAGCCCCAAAAGTTTACAAATAACTACAGCAGAGAAAAAAAATATCCATTTTAGGGAGAGGATTAGGCCAAAGTTTCAGTTTTCTGTAGGGGATCTAAGAGGATTTGCAGAACACTGGGATTATTGTGAGGTTGGCACGGGAATATTGTTAAAAATGACACTTTCTGCCCATTCCCAATCCACAGGCCCCTGATGGATTTGTAAATCCACATCCTAAAGGCAGGATTGCTGTCACCCATCTCCTGCCATCTGAATCCTCCCTGTGTGGATGAGGCTGATCTTTGGATACTGAGGGCTGGAAAGCCCAGGGGGAGATTGCTGAGAGGAGAGAGCTGGAGGCAGAGAAGAGGAGCTGTCACTGGACCCAGGGCAGGCACAGAGCTGACAGGACAGGGAGCTCCATCCCCTGCCTCAGCCAGTCTGAAACTTTTTGCCTGATGTGTCTCTACTCAAAAAAAATCTGGAAAAGAGATTTTTGCAGCCACCAGAGCAGCCCAGTCAGTGTGCAGTGTCCCTGCTGTCCCCTGGAGCTTTGTCTCTGTGCCTTTGCCACTCCCTTTGTGCTCCAGCTTTGTGTTCCCTCCCTGGGGGGAGACTTTGGACCTGCACTGATGCAACACCCCTGGGGAGCACTGAGAGCTGTTCCTTGGCTTTGGGAGGGGAAAGAATTCCTGGATGGAGTTAAAAAAAGGAGATATCTGGTAAATCAGACCTGCAGAAGCCCCTCTGCCCCCTCAGGTGAGACCCCCCTGCAGAGCTGCCCCAGCCCTGGGAACAGCACAGGGAGCACGTGGAGCTGCTGGAGAGAGTCCAGAGGAAACCATGGAGATGCTGCCAGGGCTGGAAGAGCTGGGGGGGTTCCCTTGGAGAAGAGATGGATCCAGGGAGACCTGAGAGCCCCTTGCAGGGCCTAAAGGGGCTCCAGCAGAGCTGGAGAGGGACTGGGGACAAGGGATGGAGGGACAGGACACAGGGAATGGCTTCCCACTGCCAGAGGGCAGGGAGAGATGGGAGATTGGGAAGGAATTGCTGGCTGGGAGGGTGGGCAGGCCCTGGCACAGGTTGGGCAGAGAAGCTGTGGCTGTCCCTGGATCCCTGGAAGTGTCCAAGGCCAGGTTGGGATCCCTGGGCTGGTGGAAGGTGTCCCTGCCCATGGCAGGGGTGGGATGGGATGATCTTTAAGTTCCCTTCCCACCCAAATTCTGCTGTGATTCTCATATTCCCTCCTTCTCCCTTCTCTCTCTCCTCTTTCCTTGCTGGAACAGCCCCTCAGAGCTGTGACAGAAGCCACAGGTCCAAACAGGTCCCCAGCTGATGTTTGGTCCATCAGCAGGGGGGGGTTGATCCCCCCTTCCCCACTCCTGTCTGGTAGGGGGAGAGGTCACTGCTGGTTGCACTGGGAGAGGAGGTTGTACCCTCAGAGATGGGCTGCTGGTAGAGCTGAACCTGGAAAGAAGTCCAAGTGGCCACCAGAAAACTTCCAGCCTCTTCCTTCCTAGGCTGGAATTTGGCAACATTCCCAGGACAATAAGCCAGTGCAGTAGAGCTGGTTCTATCCTCAGTTGTACCATAAAGCTGGAAATCTGAGGATCAGAGTTATTGGTGCTTTGTGATACGATGCAGATTATAGAGATTCAGGCAGAGAAATATCAAAGTAATGGCTCATTGTTGCTGTGAATATTGGGAATATTCTCTCCATAAGAGGCATTTGACCCTTTTTGTTCTCCACTGAGTTTGATTTGCTGAAAACCTCAACGACCTTCCTGAATTTCTTTATATTCTCTGGATTACATCAGGTTTTTCAGGGCAGTGAGTTGCTGGATTTCTGTTTGTTTGTCTGTGGGGTTGGTGGGAATGGAGGGAAGTGTGTAATGTAAGTAAAGAGAGATTCCTGCCTGCAATCCCTCATTTTCCTGTGCTTGCTGTTTTGAGGGATGAAAAGGAGGTGTCACAGCATTTTAATCCCACCCCTGCTCTGTCTCTCTCCCCCATGGATCCAAAGGGCCCCTTTCATCCACAGGATTATGAGGCCATCGTGGTGAAAGCCCCATCAGTTGGCCTTTCATCTTCCCCTGGGAGTTTGGAAGGTTTATCTGGGGCTCCCTTGCTCCCTGACTCATGACCTGATGTTTGGGGAGAGCAAAGAGCAGCTCCTGGGAAAGAAAAACCCAAAACTTAAATCCAGCCAGGAGAGAGAAACAGGAGCCCCCTGAGTGCTCCCCGTGGTTGGTGGTGACCCTGCAGGGCTGGAGCTCAGTTCTGCTTGCACAGGGCATTCCTGGATCCCTGTGTCTTCCACCTCCACCCAGGCACACCTGCCTGAGCATGAAACACTGCCCAGTTTCACAGCTGGAATCCCAAATCAGGGGGATTTGGGATCCACCAGGTGAGGGTGTGAACAAACAGACACAGCTGGCAGAGCTGACTTGGTTTCTTGTCCCAATTTTTAGCCAGATTTCTTCGCTTTTGAGTTGCATGAACCCAGGAATTCTTGCTGGGAAGTATCTGCAGAGTCCCAGGCCAGGAGGAGCTGGAAGAGGGGGCTTTGCTTGTGAACCTCTGCTCTCCTGAGCCCCCAGAGGGTTTCCTTCTGGTGACCAGTGATGGGACCCGAGGGATGACCTGGAGCTGTGCCAGGGAGGGTCAGCTTGGATCTCAGGACAAGGCTCTTCCCCCAGAGGGTGGTTGGGCACTGAACAGGCTCCCCAGGGCAGTGGGCACGGCCCCAAGGCTGCCAGAGCTCCAGGAGGGTTTGGACAACGCTCTGAGGGACAGGGGGGAATGTTGGGGTGTCCTGGGCAGGGCTGGAGGTTGGACTGGGTGATCCTTGGAGGTCCCTTCCAGCTCAGGATATCCTGGGATCCCCCAGCCTGATCTGTCTGTGCTAGGACAGGTATAAATGAAACCCTTCCCACCTGTGTTCTCTGAAGGCAGAGAAAGCAAATTCCTCCTGGGTGAACTCCAAATAAAGGAAACTCTGATTTTGGAGTTGACTCTTGTGTTTGCCTCCAGTGATTAGTGTGTCTTCCTTTAATATTGAAATAAGATTCCTATATAAAGCAGAACACACGGGAATATCTCTCTGTCATAATGAGGAGAGTGATCTGATTTCTGAATGTAACAGTTTTATTTCCTTTCCTTTTTTTTTATTATCACGTTCCCTGCTATTCTTTGCCTGGAATGTCAATCCTTCACCTTCACATGCCTGGCTTTATTTAGGACTGCTGCTTTTCCTGTACTAGGAGTATATATATACATATATATTTATAAATTGGCTCATCACTTATGCAGTTCAGAGTGTGCCTTGGAGCAAAGCCTGAATCCAGCAAGCGTGGATCCCTCCCTGGAGATGACACAGGGTGTCACAGCTCAGAGTGGGATCTTCTATTTCTATTATTTATATTTCTGTTATTTATGTTGATATCCTACAATGAATTGCCCTGCCCTGCCCCTTCGTGTTGAGCATTGCTGTGGCTCCTCTTTCATCGTGTGCAAATATTTCATGGAAAGGTAAAAAAAACAAAAAGAGAAGGGAATTTAATCCATTCTCCTTCCTGGGAGCAGCAGCAGCATCTTTCCATCAGCCTGTGCTGCTTTGGTGCTCCTGTCATAGGAGGTTAGATGGAAATTATGGAAATTCCCTTGGAGCTGCAGGTCCCACAAGGTACAGGGATTAAAACCTCCATGCTGGATTGTTGAGCTTTCCATGGGCAAAGGGGTGTTGTTCCAACTGAGGAACTCCCAGTTCAGCTCCTCAGGCTCTGCAGGTTGTTCCCAGCTGGCAGCCAAGTCCCAAGGAGTTCGTGGGGAGGGGGTGGATTATCAGGGCTGGTTTTCAGCGAGCAGGATCTGACTTGAAGAGAGTAACACACTTTTCATGCCAAAGAAGAAGTTTTCTACTAATTCTTTTCTTCCAGGGCTTAAAATCCCCTGTGCTGGCACCCATCCCATGCATTCCATGCTGCTTCCCAAGTGTGGCTGCAGTGATTCCACACATCAATCCCAATCTGCCTGCAAGTGTCCAAGGCCAGGTTGGACAGGGCTTGGAGCAAGCTGGGCTAGTGGAAGGTGTCCCTGCCCATGGCAGGGGGTGCAATGAGATGGGCTTTAAGGTCCCTTCCATCCCAAACCAGTCTGGGATTCTGGGATTCCCTGGTTATAACTTTCCCTGTTCTTCTCTTTTTCTCTCTCCCCTTTCCTTGTTGGAACAACCTGTCAGAGCTATGCCAGAAAACAAGTGAGTGCCAGGACACAGGGAATGGCTTCCCATGGGAAAAGGAGAGATTTAGGTGGGATACTGGGAAGGAATTGCTTGCTGGGAGGGTGGGCAGGCCCTGGCACAGGTTGGGCAGAGAAGCTGTGGCTGCCTCTGGATCCCTGGAAGTGTCCAAGGCCAGGCTGGAGCACCCTGGGCTGGTGGAAGGTGTCCCTGCCCGTGGCAGGGGGTGGAAGGAGATGATCCTTCAGATCCCACCCAGACCTTTGTGTGACCCCACGACTCCTCTTGCTTTTTTCACAGCCCCCCCTTCAATCAAGCTCCTGGTGGACGACCCCATCGTGGTGAACCCCGGGGAGGCCATCACCCTGGTGTGTGTGACCACGGGGGGGAGCCAGGCCCCAGCCTCACCTGGGTCCGCTCTGGGGGGGCCCTGCCCGAGAAGACGGTGCTGAACGGGGGCACCCTGACCATCCCCGCCATCGGCGCCGCCGACGCCGGCACCTACAGCTGCATCGCCAACAACAACGTCGGCAACCCCGCCAAGAAGTCCACCAACATCATCGTCAGAGGTGAGCGGAACCAGAAAAGAGGATTGTTGGAATCCTCTCCCGGCTCAGCAGCTCCCACCTCGGGGTGTCCCGTGTTGCCAAGGGGTGGTGGTCGGATGGGGTGATCCCCCCCAGGTCTCTCTTCCAGCCTTGACGGTTCTGAGACTTCTGGTCGTTTCTGACGATGTATGGGGGGAATTAGAGTTGCTTCAAGGACCAGTGGCTCTTGTGCTGGAGGTGGTTTGGTGCCCCTTTGTACTGGGGAGATGGAGCAGCTTTTCCATGTGAAGTGGAGAGACATTGGTTTGTTGAGCCTGGAGAGAGGAGGTGAGTGGAGCTGGAAAACCATCCACCTTCCTCTTGGAAGGGTGTCAGAAACCTCATCTGGCACAGTGGTTCTCAATTAGTGCTGTCCTGCCTTTCCAAAGGGTCATGGTGGTCTTCCAGCCACCCGGATGGTCTTTCCAAATGATCTTCGAGATCTTTTCCAACCTGGAGGGTTCTGTGGGTTCTGCTCATTTCTGGGATGAGTTAGAGTTGCCTCAAAGAGCCAGTGGCTCTTGTGCAGGGATCAAACCCCTCAGGTGGAACAAGGGTGGTTTGGTGCTGCTTTGTGTTGTGGAAGATGGAGCAGCTTTTCCATGTGAAGTGGAGAGAAACTGGTTTGTAGAGCCTGGAGAGGGGAGGTGAGTGGAGCTGGAAAACCATCCACCTTCCTCTTGGAGGATTATTGGAATCCTCAGCTGGCCCTGTGGTTTTCACATCGTGCTGTCCTGCATTTCCAGGTGGTCACGGTTGGACTGGATGATCTCGAAGGTCTCTTCCAGCCTTGGGGATTCTGTGGTTTCTGGTCATTTCTGGGACTTCAGACGAGTCCCTGTGCTTTAATTATTCTAAACAACAGGATAAATGTCTGTCTCAGGTGAAAAACAGAGAAAAGAGGCTGCAGAACAGCTTCTGCCAGGTGGAGAGAAAGTATCCCTGGTTGTTTATCCCCTTCTGGATAATCCAGGGACATGGGCAGTCGGTTTGGTGATGGAGTTTGGTTGGCATCATCAGGGAGGATCAATCTACCCGAACCAAACAGTCCATCTGAAGCTAATTTTCTGTAATCTGCTGTGTGGATGGCAGTGACACCTGAACTCCTGGCCCCAGGAACTTTAAATGACAGCATGTGATTGATCAGAGTGGGGAGAAACTGCTGCATAAAGAGAATATTTCTGTGGATATTTCACGAGAGCCACAAGCCCTGGTCACTCCTTCCTTGCCCAACATCTCCTGCTCTTCAGCAGGATGAGGAATTAGGAGCTATTTCTGCTCTGAGGGGTCTGGGGGAGCCTTGAGTCAGAGAATAATGATGATGATGATGATAATAACAATAATAATATCCCCTCACACTTGTATTTGGAGGAGACACTGCCTGGGAGCTGCAAGATGTTGGACAAAATACCTTTTTGCTTCTTTCCTGTCTGCTGGGTGGCCCTGGGAGTTCTGGGAAGGGACCACAACGAGGACAGCCCATTAAAGGAACGAAGCTCAGCTCTTTTTTACCCCCCAGTTCTTTGCTACCCTTATTATTTCTGTTAAAGGGGAAGAACATTTAGAAGAGAAAAACTTTTATTCCAGTCTTGGTGGATTTATCCTTCCTAAAAGTGATGCTGAGTTTAGGAGTGGAATGTGAGACAGAGCAGATTTGGGGTTGAGTTTGTGTCCATGTTTCTGGACATTTTGCCTGTAGCTCCTTCCTTCTCTCCAGTTCAGCTCTTGTTGTTGCTGTGGACCAGGATTTTCACACAGCAGCTGAGGAGAAAAGAGAATTTGCTTGAAATAGCAGCTGAGCCAGGCAGGAGAAACGTTTGGGAAATGGAGTTCCCATCTTCTGGCAGGTGGAACATGAAACCCAGGATTAGCCAATAATCCCCTAATCTGACCCAGAAAGGAAATTTCAGTTGTCTCAAAGCATCCTCAGGGCTCAGATGTAATTTATTCCCTTCAAAATTCACTCCATTTCCCAGTGTCTTTATCTGCATGTGCCTTTATTCCATGTGCTTCATTCCATGGGTGCTGAAGCAGCTCCATGATTTTTTTCTTCTGGGTATTTTCTTTTTTTTTTTTTGTGGCTGCTGACCCACCACTCCTGACTGCAAACCAAGAGAGGTGGGGAGGGACTTGGGACAAGGGATGGAGGGACAGGACACAGGGAATGGCTTCCCACTGCCAGAGGGCAGGGACAGATGGGAGATTGGGAAGGAATTGCTGGCTGGGAGGGTGGGCAGGCCCTGGCACAGGTTGGGCAAAGAAGCTGTGGCTGCCCCTGGATCCCTGGAAGTGTCCAAGGCCAGGTTGGAGCACCCTGGGCTGGTGGAAGGTGTCCCTGCCCATGGCAGGGGTGGGATGGGATGGTGTTTAAGGTCCCTTCCAGCCCAAACCATTCTGGGATTCTCTGATTCTAGGATGGCTCCTCCATCCAGGGGGAGAACAGAAGTTCTGGAGATCATCTGTGAGGGACTCCTGCGCATCACGCTGGGAAGCAGAGCCAGAGAGGTGTTTTACAGGCCTTTTCAAGCACTTGGATTTAGAATCATGAAATCATTTAGGTTGGAAAACCCCCCTCAAACCATCGAGTCCAACCATCCCCCGGCACTGCCAAGGCCACCACTGCCCCATGTCCCCAAGTGCCACATCCACAAGGGTTTAAAATCCCTCCAATTTCTGTGATATTGGCAGAAGAACCTTTTCCCCCATCCTTCCTTTCCTCTCTGTGTTCTGGGAAGGGCTCACAGCAAGGAGCAGAACTGGATGAATTTAGGGACGTGGTTCAGTGCTGGGTTTAGGGTTGGACTCAGTTATCTCAGAGGGCTTTTCCAACCCAAACAATTCCCTCATTCTACATGTGCTTTTCCCCAGGCCTTGGCACACATCCCCACACATCTCTGCCATGGAGAGCTGCCCTCTGGGATGGGATTTCAAAGGGACAAGATTTTAGCCAAGCAAACCCATCTCGCAGCACATCCAGAGTGTTCCTACAGTCATAAATTCCCAGGGTGCTCCCCTAAAACCTTCCAGCTCTGGGAGTGATTGTGGGAAAAAGTTGAGCTTCAGAGTTGAGTGAGTCCATTTCTTTTTATAATCTGCAGTGGCAGGCTCAGGTCTGAGTGTCCTCCCAGGCTGGAGGGTCATGGGTGAGATCACACAAGGCTTTCATAGACCAATGGAGATGGTTTATTGATCCTCCTGCCCTTTCCTTAGGGCTTCCCAGAACTTTTGCTGTCAGGAATTTTATTTATTAATAAGTTTGCTCTTCAAAACATGGTGTGGTGCCTGTTGGGCACCGTGGATCTGTGAGGATGGATCAGAAGGGCATTCAAGAGGTGGGATTTATTCCATCTCTCCCCTTCTGACCCCTGTGTTGGGGCAGCTTCAGACAGACACGTGATTTGTCCATCTCAGCCTGGGGTTGGGGGCTCACAGGCACTGGACATGAGCCCAGGTGGCCAAGAAGGCCGAGGACACCTGGCTTGGATCAGGGACAGTGTCCAGTGGGATCAGGGCAGGGACTGTCCCTGTGCTGGCACTGCTGGGGTGACACCTCCAGTGCTGGGGGCACTTCTGGGACCCTCAGAGAGAGACCTGGAGGGGCTGGAGCGTGTGCAGGGAAGGGAACGGAGCTGGGAAGGGGCTGGAGCAGCAGGAACAGCTGAGGGAGCTGGGGGGGCTCAGCCTGGAGAAAAGGAGGCTCAGGGGGGACCTTCTGGCTCTGCAATCCCTGACAGGAGGGGGGAGCTGGGGGGGATCGGGCTCTGCTCCCAGGAAACAGGGACAGGAGGAGAGGGAACGGCCTCAGCTGGGCCAGGGGAGGCTCAGGTGGGACAGCAGCAGGAATTTCTGCCTGGAAAGGGTGGTCAGGCACTGGCAGGGGCTGCCCAGGGAGGTTTGGAGTGCCCAGCCCTGGAGGTGTCCAAGGCAGGCCTGGCCGTGGCACTCAGTGCTCTGGGCTGGGGACAAGGTGGGGATGGGCACAGGGGGATCCAGTGGGCTGGGAGGGCTTTTCCAGCCTCAGGGATCCTGGGATTTCACTGAGGGCAAGAAAAGAAGATATTCTTCCTCTTGGCTAAAAGTTCTCCATCACTGAAGCCCGATACACTTTTTTGGCAGGGTTGTGGTGTCATGCTTTGTTGTTGTATCAGAGCTTGGCTGATTAAGACATGGTGAGGTCTGGGCAGTTTTAACAATATTCTCATTTTGGCAGAAAAAAATTGAATTTTCCCAAGTTTTGTCACATCTTGGAGGGAGAGGAAACGAAGGGGAGGAAGACAAGTGCACAGTGGTTGGTTCTGGTGTTGCCAAGATCCTTTGCTGACCTCAAAATGCGTTTTAAGACACTTGTGTTGTGTCAGGTAACTGTGGCTGGGATTGGAAGGTCTCTGCCCAAATCATTTGGGAATGTTTCCTAGGATCCTCGTGTGTTTGTGAGGCATTTGTGGGAGAAAAACAAAGTGTTGAAGGGAAATGCATCCCATGTTGAAGGGAAATGCATCCCATGTTGGGACAAATCCAGGCTCTGACAAAACCCTACAGCCCAGTAAAGCTCTTGAGCCACCCCAGAAGCAGGAATGAGGATAATCCAGTGTGGAAACCTTGGAAAATGGGCAGTTTGCTCTGGATTTGGGGAGAATGGCACGTCCTGTGTGCTGAGTTTCATCATTTGCACCGTGTGGGCAAGGAGTGGAGATTTACAATATATCTCTTTTGAGCAGGGCTATGTTTTTCTGGCAGCTTTGGCATGAGAATTAAACTTTCTAAAGGAATTGGCCCCAGAAAAGTCCCAGCTGCAAAGTTCAGAGGATTTAGAATCTGTTTGGCAAGTGGGGTTGTGTCAGCTCCTCTCAAGTGTTTAATTTATGTCCCAATTCTTGTCTGGCTTCTGATGGGGCTCAGGAAGCTCCCTGTCCTCCTGTCCCTGTTCCCTGGGAGCAGAGCCCGATCCCCCCCAGCTCCCCTCTCCTGTCAGGGATTGCAGA